TATATTAAAATATGTATATTTAAAGCTCAGACCAGGCTTTTAAGATGGCTTTGAGGAAAAGGGCATTCATTGGATTCTCAAATTGAGAAATCTCTGTTATATTGAGTGACTTTTATATTGGAGTTAGTACATCTCTCTCATGGATTTTACTAAAAAAGAGCTAAATACATTATTTTGTTTTTACCAAGGAGGGCTTCTTTATGTACTAAGGTTTGTTTAATTAAAGTTCCTATTGTGAATCTTGAATGTTCCCAAACGTGACTAGAGGAATCTTGAAACCTTACTGATAGGTTTATTTCATTGTAAAGCACATGCTTAAGAAACTGCGGCATGCAAGTGACCGATTCGATTCTCAGAATTATTCTAGTTTCAGTTGCGCCGAGCGTTATGTAAGCTTAATTCAACCCGCTACATCTATTCTTTTATAAGATTTTGATCACGTAACGAATATCGCAATTTTTACTCACCACAAACTTTCAAAAGCGTAGCTTTACAGATGGCCACTCGACCCTTGTTTGTACCAATCAATATGTCAACTGTTGTCCCTTCTTTTAACTCCACGGCGCCAACGACTTTCTTTTCTTTTACAACACTCACGCTATTCTCGTTTTCCCATTGAACCACAATAAAAAGCTATCTTTAGAAATGTTATATTAAGCAAAACAGTTAAGAAAAACGATCAACCGATGAAAAGTACATTCAAAGATGAGCGCCAAATGGAGTCTTCTTTGTTTCCGATCACGGGCATGATCACGTTGATCTTTTAGGACTTGTCATTGGCTAGCAAAGTGCATCCGCTGGCTTGCCGATTGCAGTGTTAAGAGAAGCGCCCAACTTTAATCTGACTTCTCCGACCGGTTCTCTGCATCTAGAAGATGGATAGCTTGGTGATATAAATAAAGATGTGAGCTCACTCTATGTAGAAATAATCGACAAGAATCGATCGTATTACAAATGCACGATTTGTGGCCGAAAGTTGTCGAGGAAACAAAGACTCGAAACTCACTTGAGTTGTGTTAATGGCAAAGGTGAGAAATAACACAAGCCAATCACAGTTTCGAATGCGACTACAAATCGTCTTTTACCCTCATATTTATAAAAGGAGGATACCACATTCGGAAGTATAAGAGATACATAGATGATCCTAGTGTACCAGTACCTAATCTACAAAGCTTGACCGTAGCAAGCGTTCAGCAACACGTTCCAACACCGCCATCTCGATTCCTCAGTCAGTCGTTTCCACTGAACTTAAAGCAGTATTGACAACAGAGTAGAGTGCGTCTTACAAAGGAGAAACATTTGTGCAAGAGACAGAAGTAGCTATATGCGATTACAGAGGTGCGTTGGAACTCTGGTCCACAAATAGTTATGCACTGCCCGAAGTATAAAACAATTTTGTTGATAGCTGACAGACAGAAAAGAACAACAAGTAAACTTAAGAGCTGTTATTATTGAAGTGTGACTAGCACTTTTCATTTTTATATAAAGCAGGACTTGTAATTTGCACCAACAATAAAAAGATGTAATATTTTTTGGGAGATCCAGTGATTGGGACATTTAAGAAATTAAGTTATGAAAGGAAACTCGGTTGGTACTTCTCACTACTAACAAGTCTTGTTGACAAATATTTTCAGATCAGAGTTTCAAATAAAGTAAATTGAAGACGTCATTTAAAAGGTGTCTTTTCTCAAAGGGAACATTGACTACCTCTGTCTTGTCTGCATGCCAAATGTTTGCAAAGTGTGTGGATGATCCACAAGTATTGGAACTCTTACAAAAATGTTTTGTAAAAATAAAAACAGCAAAACAAATTACAGCAATTAGTCATGAAAATAGAGCAAAAAACTGAAAAAAAAGCAGCAACAACAATCATGAAAAAAGAAAGATTAATTAGGTGTTGAATTTGTTTGTCTAAGGCATGAAATTTCTACTAAAAGTATTGTCTCTGACAGCGTTTGAGGCAACTGAGCTTGACTGTTCCAAGGTTTTCTAACAAAGGCAACCAGTAATGTAGGTAAGGGAAGTAAGATAACAATGTAATTATTGTTAATTATTGTGGAAGTTGGCAATTTCCATTTAACATAACTGACAGCTGGTTCATGAGTAAATCCATATTAATGTACAGATTTACTAAAACTTAGTTTGAATAATAAATTTCATGATCTTTAAGTTATAAACATGTACATGTATGTATATCTCTTGGTAGGTTTTGTATAGCATACCTTTTATTGAGCCAAAGTTTTAAGCCTCTGAAATTACTCTTTTTCTTAAAACCTTCACATTCAAGGTATTGAGAATTTCTTAGAATTTATGTGGACCTCAGGGTATTAAAATTGCCTCAAATTCAATTCCCAGAAATTCCCAAGAGTTCCACACTTCTTAAATTATAGGTAGTTTGTAAAGCTGAGAATTCCTAGGAATTCCTAGGGATTCCAAGTCCTCACAAAACTGGAGTCTTCCTTTCCCAGAAATTCCCAGCAATTCCAAGCTTTTAAAATCAGAGTTAATTTGCATAGTTGGGAATTTTTGAGAACTCCTAGGAATTCCCAGGAACTCCCATAAAACTGGGAATTCAGTTTGCAAGGGTCATTTGCATAATTGGGAATTTTTGAGAATTCCTAGGAATTCCTAGGAATTCCCAGAAAACTGAGAATTCAGTTCACAAGGGTGTGTAGGTTGATACTATCAACTGACAATTAGAATAACAGACTAAGGGGCTTGTTGGAAATATCTTGGGATGTACCCTCAAATAAATTCACGACCATTACAAATGTTTTCGTTAATTGAATGGAAGAAACAAGTGTCTCACTGTGCTTCATCATGGCACAAACACTGCACAAGCAAGTTTTATACAGCAGAAGAGTTTGAACATGTAAATATGAAGTTGGTGGTGTTAACATGGGTCATCCATAATCTATTTACTTTTGTGTTTACCTTTCATTGTCTCTGAAAGTTCCTCCTCGTCAGAAGGGTAGTTTCTCCTGAATGACACCTGCAAATTAAAATACAGGCAGAGGTTAATGCCACTCTTCCCATGAATTGCATTAATGCCACCCTTGTGTAGGTGCTGCAGGGAAATATTATCTGGATAGTTTTAATTCTCTACTGGCCCATGAAAACTTTCATACAAGACTCCATAGCATTGTGGGGGGAATTGGGGGGTGGGATTTGAGGTGATTCCTGGGAAAAAGAATGCCTTTGAGGGGGGACCATCCCCCAAAATCAAATGTTGGAAGGAGGGGGGTCACACTTAATATCTCAGTAATTGTAGAGTTTACATGATTTTATACTATTTAGATAAAACTACATGTTCAGAAAAAAACAAAAAGTATAGAAACATGCTTCTGCTAAGATAATTCTATTCCGTCACCGCACTGAGGGCTCACGTGAGATAGCATTGCGCCTGTGCGAACTCAGTGTGTTGCCGCCTTTGGAGCGAACGGACGTTTGTTTTTTCAACACGCTGAGAATTTTTAGTTTTAAGCGATAATTCGCAAAAAATGCCCGAGACCTCGGATAAATCTGAGCTTAAGGGCGAGAAAGACAAGAGTCGTTCAAACAGTTTCAGTCAGACTTTGATATACAATATGTTGACACGGAGGAAGAACAGGAGGCAAAATCTGCCGAGAAAGACCACGAGGTCAGCGAAGAGCCCCCCACGAAGAAGAAGCGACATGACAAAACTACGAGCTTAGAAGAAGCTGTGACAAAGCTGGCTGACTCAACCGGGGCTCAAAATATGCCTTCTAATGAAGGAAAATTTGAGGTACTTAACAGCTTGAAACAAGAGCTGAAGAAAGAGGAGACGGGCCCAAGTGTAAACACAGAGCTGGCGAATGTAGTGAATGCCATGCTCAAAGAAGGGCTGCCTGAAGAGAAACTTCAGGAAAAGTTGAACAAGTATCACAGACCAGAGAACTGTGAATTCTTGACAAAAGTACGAGTCAATCAACCAGTATGGGACCACCTTACTCCAACAGTCCGGTCCCAAGATGTTAGACTGCAAAAGGTGCAGACATCCATCTTCAAAGGAATGTGCGCGTTGACAAATATGATCGACAAACTCCTTGAGCACTTGTCGTCACTCCCAGCAGGAAACGACCTTCTTCAAAAGTCAACAGATGCACTTACATTGTTCGCTAATGCAAACAGTGAACTCAATCAAAGACGAAGGGAATTTATTAAACCGGATTTACACGAGGAATACAAACATCTTTGCTCCTCGTCGGTTCCGATCACTGACCAATTGTTTGGCAATGATCTCCCGAAACAAGTGAAAGAATTGACCGAGGTCAATCGAGTGGGAAAGAAAGTCTCCACACACAGTGGTCGATCAACGAACAAGCCTGATTATCACAGGCACAACTATTACGCACATAGCCGCGGACGCTCAGGAAACCAACATTACAGGAAGCCTTTTTTAGGCTCGTGGAAAAACGACCACAAACATCCTCCGAACTTTTTCTCAGTGGCAATGCATAACCTCAGATCCTTTCATACTTAATAGTGTGAAAAATTATAAAATTGAGTTTTGAAACCTCGACTCTTCACAAAAATCCTTAAGCCAGTGTATGCTACGCTGCGCCAGAAGGGTCACCTAAAAATGTAGGCTATATTGATGACTCTTATTTACAAGGGGAGAGCGTGGAGGACTGCCAAGCCAATATTAATGATACCTGTGACTTATTTTCAACATTGGGTTTATCCTACATCCTGATAAGTCGGTCTTACAGCCAGTTCAAGTCCTTACATTTCTGGGATTTGTCTTGGATTCAGTTAATATGACTGTCTCCTTAACACAGGAAAAAATCCAGCGCATAAGGGAAAGATGCAAGAAAATGATGGAGCTTGTTGAGCTCCCAATCCAGGAACTAGCTAGCTTTATAGGGCTTTGAGTGTCAAGTTTTCCTGGAATCTTATATGGACCACTGTATTATAGAAAACTTGAGAGGGATAAAACTACAGCCTTAAGACAAAACTATGGCAATTATAATGCTCAAATGAGATTATCCCAAGAAAGCTTTTCAGAGATAAAGTGGTGGTATGATAACATACAGACAAATAACTACCCCATATTATTGCCTAATTCAAAGGTTGATGTAATAATTTACACCGATGCATCAACTAAAGGATGGGGAGCTGTCAAAGAGACAGAGAAAATAGGGGGTAGATGGTCAGAGGAAGAAGCAAAATATCACATTAATTGTCTGGAGCTGTTAGCTGCAATTTTTGGACTTAAGGCATTTTGCAAAAATGAGCAAGGCATTCACGTTAAGATTTACTCTGATAACTCTACAGCTGTGAACTATATTAATGCTATGGGAGGTGTACATTCTAGGGAATGTCACACTATTGCTAAAGATATTTGGCAGTGGTGCATAGAAAAACAAATATGGTTAACAGCTGCTCATATCCCAGGGACCAAAAATGTTGAGGCAGATCGGGAATCACGCGTTTTCTCAGACAACAAGGAATGGATGATAAGATCTGATATTTTCCAACAGATCACAGATATCTGGGGGGAGCCCTCCATAGACCTCTTTGCATCCAGACTAAATCATCAGATTCCATGCTATGTATCCTGGAAACCTGACCCAGGGGCAGCCTTTATTGATGCATTTTCTGTAACATGGGATAAACACTTGTTCTATGCTTTCCCTCCTTTCAGCTTAATTGCAAGATGCCTACAGAAAATACAAACCGATTGTGCAGAGGGATTGATGATAGTTCCAATGTGGCCAACCCAGAGTTGGTATCCCAAACTTCTTCGCATGTTAGTGGCTGCTCCAAGAGTGTTACCACAACAACGAACTGCCTTACAAATGCCGGGGATGCCACAAGAAGTCCACCCCCTATTCAGGAAAATGGTTCTGATTGCATGCAGATTGTCCGGCAGTCCTATGAGACACAAGGAATTTCTCAAAAGGCAACCTCCATCATCTTACAGTCCTGGAGGAAAGGAACTACAAAGCAGTATTCATCTTATATCAAAAGATGGACTACATATTGTCATAAAAACAGATTGATCCAGTTTCTGCCACTGTCCCCCAGGCACTAGATTTTTTAGTGGAGCTATTTGAGTTAGGCATCGGTTACAGTGGTATTAACACTGCAAGGTCTGCTCTATCCAGTGTCTTAAAGTCTAAGCCAGGGTCGAAACCCACTGTTGTTAAGTTTGAAGCTTACCCGGACAACCCTAACATTTGTGTTGTCACTACCTTGAAGGCATATCTTAATCGTACCTCTTCTCTACGTGGAGGTGCACAACAATTGTTTATTAGTCATTACAAGCCATTTAAACCAGTTTCCCGGGACACCATCAGTAGATGGGTCAAAGCTGTAATGCAAAAGTCAGGAATTGATGTAAAGCTTTTCAAGCCCCACAGTACTAGGGCTGCCGCAACATCTAAGGCTTTGTTGAAATCTGTACCATTAGAGCACATCTTATCAGTTGCAGGATGGAGCTCATCTGAAACTTTTGCAAAGTTTTATAGCAAGCCTGTTATCAACACAGATAGCTTTTCTAACGTTTTGTTACAAGAGTAAAGTTAATAAACTGTTTTGACCAATATGACTTGCTTGGTTGGTCATTACTCTGTTCATGTGTGCAGTGGGCTTTGAAGTCTCACGTGAGCCCTCAGTGCGGTGACGGAATAGAATTGGAAAATTAAACGAGACTTACCTGTAAGTTGAAGTTTGATTGAAATTCTATCCGTCACCAAGCACTGAGGGATTACGTGCCCTCCCTTTTAAGGCCCTCCCATTTTGCTGGTCAGGGTTTTCTTTCCCCTGCACACATAGCAAGTGCTTTAAAAACTGAGTTCGCGCAGGCGCAATGCTATCTCACGTAATCCCTCAGTGCTTGGTGACGGATAGAATTTCAATCAAACTTCAACTTAAAGGTAAGTCTCGTTTAATTTTCCAATTATACCGGTACATATCCTCTGTATTTAAATGACTGTTTCCATCTCAACAATCTTCAGAGTATCTCAGCAATTGTAGATTTTACATGATATTATACTATTCAGATAAAACTACAAGTTCAGATACAAACAAAAAGCATATTGATGTGCTTCTACCTACATATTAAGAGCTAATGTCAGCATGCATCAGACAAACATCTGTAGAATGAGTTGTGACCATCATTATAATGAACAAAAAATACAAATAATATAGTTGACTGCAAAATATATAAATAAAATAAGGGGCAGGGGGGGGGGTCAGAAGGATACAAATTTATAAATTTTAAGGAATGGCCTTGGGGAAAAATGACACTTGTCATGAAGTATCCAGTTAAGTATTAACATTAACCACATATTAGAAACATCAGGTTAGAGTTAAGGCTAGGGGACAGTTCATAACAGTTTCTTTTTTTGAGGTGAGGAGAAGGGTAGGGGGATACCTCACAATGCACAGTGCTTACTGTCTAGCTAGATTATAACAAAGAATAATTTAACAATACATAAGAAGAGCCTGCTGGTCAAAGTAGCTTTGGGGGGAATAAGGAGGGAGAGTAATCTAGGGATACCAGGTCACACTAGTCCTGGCTCACAAAGAGCCTGGTCACAGTAGCCCTGGGGGCTTGCAAAGGGGAATAATCTAATGATACCGGGTCGCACCAATCTTGGCTCATGAAGAGCCTGGTCAACAGTAGCCCTGGAGGATTACAAAGGGGAATAATCCAAGGATACCAGGTCACACCGGTCCTGGCTCACAAAGAGCCTGGTCACAGTAGCCCTGGAGGGATTACGAAGGGGAATAATCTAAGGTTACAGGGATGATATCATGTAACATTTGACGGTTAGAATATGTTAAGGTGCAGTTCCAAAAAAAAAATAGATTCCGTCATTTACAAGAAATTTGACATTATCTATAATTGAGAATTAAACCTCTATTTTTTCAATTACGATTATTGCACCTACCAGTGACTGTTTCAAGGTATAGTTATCTCTACAGTATTCTAAAAATTTGATAAAGAACATAAAATTAGACCATATATAGTGGCGAACGTGTGTCACAAAGACACAATTATACCACAACTTATTATGCTACCCCCAGTTCATGCTGGTATTAACAATTTTAGAGAATTTACCTAATTAAGAGTTAATTCATCCTCAGCACTGAATGTGTTTTGAATGGGAATATATTATTTTAAGACATTGAAAAAGTTAAAGTGGGTTTGAATTGAATCACTATAACCCTCTCTACTGAGGTTCAGGACTTCATCCCCTTGTAGGTTATCAGTTGTCTCACCACTTCCCTTCCTCACTGTAGTGTAAAGTGGAATAGTACTTCAACCAGTGAACTAATCAATGGACTTCCTTTTTATTGTTTTCATATAATAAAACAAAGAAAACATGCATCACTTACTATCATGGCCATCATCATTAAGCATGTATTAAACTATATTCCTACCTGGAAAAAGGCATTTCTTTAAAAGGCCCTGGAAAACCTATTTTCCATTTCTGTTATGGACAACAGTGGCTGTTAGAGCTGTTAAAGCTGCTAGGAGTTACTGTAAATGAAGATCCATGTAACTGGGACGTTCAATTTGAAAACATGCTTAGCAAAGCAAGTTCTAGACTGTACATCCTCAGAGTCTGCAAATACTACGGCTTCTCACTACAAGAACTTACACTGCTGTTTGACAGTCTAATTATGTCACTTTTCACTTACGCAATTGAGGTGTGGGCTTCTGCCCACTACAGTAAATATCTCTCTCATATTGACAAGTTTTGTAAGAGACCTTTACGTTATGGCTACACTAGCAAATACACTCCCATAATGGATGTAATTAGAATGAAAGACAGGCTTCTTTGGGTCGAGATAACCTCTGACAGTGCAAATCCATTACATGAACTTTTACCAGCTCAGAGAGCTAGGAGCCTCAGGAAAAGAGGACATAATTACATCCTGCCTCCAGTCAGAACCGAACGCTTTAAACGTTGCTTTTTCAATAGATGTCTTTTCGAATATGTGTAGTTACTTAGTCTTGTATATACATAATAGATAGATATATGTAGGAAATTGTAAGTCCAGACGTTTTGTTTCTGGACGTGCTTCTTTAATAAAGATCTTTATTATTATTATTATTATTATTATTATTGTTATTGTTCCACTACCATTAGTTGGTGGTGCTGTCATCTTCCCCGTGTGTAGAGCCTTTATTTGCTATAAAGACAAATATTATCATGGCAGATATTATTATGACAGATAGTTAAGCACATCACAGTACACGCAATTATGAAATAAACACACCTAGCTGCGTAGGTATATTTAAATGGAAAATTACTGTAAACTCTTGACATATTACTTTAGATGATGAATTAGTTGAGATTAAAACTAATGGGAGTACATTTCATTCTTAATTTTTCCAAACCTTACCTAAACTTAAGAGTAGAGAGAAAGCAGATGATAACTTACAGAGGTTTGATCTTGATGGTTTGCATTATTATTTGGGGTGGTACTGTGGGAGCTGCTTGCAGTGTTGGTAATGCTGGGGCTGGACTGTAATGCCTGTTTTGAAAATAAAAGTGTTTGAAGGGGTATAATTGGGTTTAAAATTAAATATCATTAGTGTATCCTTTGAAATTGAATTTAAGACATTAGGGGATCCTATGTACCTGGTACTGTAGCTCTTGACTATATGCCTTTATTTTTGCCAGTCAACCAAATTTTTCCTGTTGGAAGAAGCACTGGTACATGTTTCAGTACCTTTTCATTCTCATTTTTTATTTATATCTTCTCTATTGTAGATTCATAAATAGCTGAAAGTTTGCATTCCATACCGTTTATCCTCCATGGCAGAACAAAGAGCCTGTGCTCTGCCAATGGACTCTTGAAGGCCCTCACAATCCAAGTTTGATTCTTGTAAGGTATGAAAACATTGTGATGTTGAAGACTTAAGTAGATTGAAGCTATTCTTGTGATATATAGGCATGATTAATAAAGACCTAATAAGAGGCTCCTTCAGAAGAAATCTTTTGTTTGCTGGACAAGGCAGTTAGGAAAAAAAAACGTTTTTGCAACATCTATACGTTTCCTTTTTTCGTTTGCTATATGGGGTTTTTTGCACATCATAAACAATCTATTGATAATCAGACTACTTGTGAAGCAAACAGGAGGAGCTAACAAATTTTTCTACTCAGTCATAACCTTAATGACTCATGATACACTTTCAAAAATGAAAGGTGTCATTCACCTAACCATGATATAGATTTCAAATTTAGAATTTATCATGCTTACCCTCAAAGATTTCCACGCACTTGGCATGTTTCTGCTGTGGCATGGGGCCAGAACAAATACCACAGTGCCAGGGCTTTGTAAAGCACCATATTTTGCTTTGACTGCAATTGAAAATGCAATTACTCTTGTGCTAATAATGACATCATCAGCATAATCATCCTGATAGTTATTTTAATATAAAAAATAACAGCAATAATAATTATGATAATTATAGTTATTACAATAATACAAAAAATAAAGCTAGTATTTAATGGTTAAAATTAATACTTGGGTGTATTTTCTTTTGCAATCTGAGCCAAAGATTAGGTTTAGCTACCTCTCTGGGCTTCATGGCCTCTGTCTTTGGCAATCCAGAAGTAAATTTCTGGACTGTTTGCCACAGCATTGAGCATGCTTAAAAAAGTAACTACAGAGAAAGTTGATAAACATCAAATACACTTGAGTAATACAAATGAATGAAAAATCAATAGAAAACAAAGCAAAGACATAAGAGTCAACTATTACCTAGCCAATCTTCTCTTACAAACAAGAGGACAGCTGGAGGGCAAAAGCACAGCCACCATTACACGACCATCCTCTGTTCCTTTGCCATGTGAACTAAGACAAAATGATATGTGCATGTACATGACTGTACTATTTGAATTGTTTACAGCTCTGCACCCACAGTAGGTGATCTAAGGAGAAACATATTCTTTTTGACAGATTTATTTGTAGCTCCTGGGGTTTTTTCAGCTCGCAAACGTTTTTTCCCTGCCAATCAAAGGGTAGAGTAAGAGATGTG